GTACTAATATTGCAGAGTTAATATGATGCACTAATGACTTCCCCCATTTCTATTCAAGCTACTCGAGAACTCACCGTATCGACAAAACTCTACCTCTACTTTAATTAATCGAAATACATATAAAGTTATGCTGAAATAGTCTTCCAGTTGCGACATCGACAATCTGATTGGACAGACTGGGTTTAAATACTCTGAATATTGTGATAAACATTAAGACATTTCATGTTTCAATTTTATGCTTTTGCTAAAAAAAAAAAAAAAAACACATATTCTCTATTCTTCGCTGATTTTTAGCTGAAACGCCCATAAGCCATTTATCGACTTCTCATCAGTTGTTAGAAAATGCACCATTTTTTTACCACACGAATTTACCATGCACCATAATTGTGATATCCTTTACAACATATTCGATAATAAAGGGGTACACAAACGTGTCCGAAATAAATGACGACCATTTAATATCTTCTCAAACTGTTCAACGAAAACTTATCGCCAAGTTGTAGTTCATCAAGTTTTCATTTTAACAACTGCACAAGAAAAAGGGTTGATATTAATATATTATATTAAAAATAAAATTTCTGATTGAATATATTTATTTTTTATGGAAGAGAAATATGTACCTTATTTATCGCACTGCCGTAATTTGTACAGTTGACACGAAAGCGGGCGTAGTAGTATTGCATTACGGGAAAATTTTATGCGACCGCTAAGAGCAATTATTACCACAAACGAAAAAATATGTCTAAACTTGATAGACACTCCACTGTCTTGTAGCCAAACAGGAGCTCGCAATCGTTCATTCAATTTCGTTCGCTCATATAGCTTCATTGTGTGGGGTTACTAATGATTCTATGTGAAGAAGTCCATTAGAGCAGTTACTTCGTTCGGATATTAGCAAAAACATTTTGAAAACAATTAATGTGTTTGCAAAAAAAAATTACTAGTAGTCTATTAAATAGCGTGTTTACCCAGTCGACGTAACTGGGTTAGAGAAATCTTGTCGGACAGCTGACACAAATTACTCTACACTGTCAAAAAAAAGCTGCTAATGTTGTTTTGAGAGACATGATCTACATATTCTGCTCTTTGCTTATGTGGCAGCTGAAGACACAACAAAGTTTCCTGAGGGTAAATAGGCACCCTGTGAGAATAAGGCTTCGGTGATCTGAACTGGCTGATTGTCACTCTGTGCAACCAAAGAAGGAACATCATTTCCACTTAAGTGTGTTCCTTTCAGCGAAGTGGGTGCTTCAGCACCCACTAGCAGTATTTGTTATCGTACGTATGCACGTTTGCCAATCCAACTATGTCGTCGATCCTCTGCCGTAGGTCGTAACAGAACTTTGTTAAACCGTACGAAATTAGACCTCAAGACTGCCATGTGTAGGGCTTGTAGCTTACTCGAGCAATGTGAAGAAGGCGTAATGATGTGACCTCCGTTCTCCAAGGCCGGCTTGATAGCACTTAAGCCTGCCTATCTATTGTTAGCCCACATGGCTTCTGTGAAGAACAGCAAATGATCCAGTTTAAGTAGCTAAGACGGTCTTCAAATACAGTGCTTGTGCTTCCTACGAACAGTCTCGCAAAATCCTTGGTTTCTAAGAAGTGCGCACTCATTAGCATGGCTTACTTGAAATTAACTTCAGAAAATACAAAACATGGCGGAACTGTGTTCCCACCTGCGTACGCAGAGACGAACATTATCACAAGCATTTCACGCAGTCACTAATATAGCCTCCTGAGATACATCAAAAACAACTCGATTGAATAGCAGCTGCAACTTCTTCCACAACCTTAAGCTGTCGCTGTTATGTCGTCTACCTCAACCCAATTCATCAGCTGGTCCATAAATAGAAAAACCTTTCTCCACGAATGCCGCGTGCTCCTTGCACAGTCTCAAAATTTCGAGTCGATTTGTAACTCTCCGTAATAACTCCACGACTCTCAACAAAGCGAGGCTATTTAGAGGTATGACACTTCGAAAACTACGATACATTCTTTGGCGACATTGTGCAGTTTCGATGATACACAATGAAGACACAATCATAAACATCCTGTTTACTGTGGTAGTAAATCAATTCGCTGAGTTGGGTTCCACGTCAAGCATGGCCGTAGAAACACGGGAATTAGGATTGATCAACAGGATTGCCGTGTTAGCCTATACGGCTATGTATGGTATAAGAGTGTGATATATTCGTAAATAACATTGTTTCTCTTTATCGGTGCGGTATGAAGACACTTTATTTAGAAGAACCGTTACAACGCTTACAAAAATATTAAAATACAATCCTATCTCAATTTATGTCTACCAGATACCTGATAGCAACCTCTTTTCTCAAAGCTCGCTGTACGATTAGCGACCGTTACATTCTGTCTCCCGAAATATTAGTACAGCCTACAACATAAATATGTAAAATAGTAAGTTAATTTTATGAAACGCCCATTCCATGTAGGCCTAGCACCAATTGTTTGGTCATACTATCATGAAATTTCATCTATTATTCATAGAATTAAAATTTCACTTTATCCATAAGCCAGGTGCAATCGGAAAAAAATATACACTGATTTTCGGAACTAACGCTCCTCCTGCGTCCTAAAGAGAATGGAGTGGCCTGCATACTCACTCCTACACGTTCCTTTATTTCGCACATTCGAGATATACAAAGATAATGGCTTAAAATCTCGTCATACTACAAGCTACCAGTACACGAATGCTGAGTAGTCACAGATTATTTTATTTTAAGCTTTTAAGCTATGCGCTCTTAGCAGACGAGATTTGCAGGTCGATTAGGTGACATTAAGTTGTTGAAGGTAAATGCTCCGTGATTAAATGACTGATTGAAAGTGAAGCAGTTCGCGGAATCCCTCCATTGATTAATGAAAGCTCTTAGCGAAATAGGACAGAGTTACTGATGCAAGAACAATAATAATAATAATAATGGGAACTGAGAGGTTAGGGGCCTAGAGAAAAGGCGACTGCATATAGAGAAACGAGTTGTTGTAGTCACGGAAGCCTGCAAACAAGACAGAACATGGACCATGCATTCCCTCTCGACTTCTAGTACTTCGAAACATGAAGTTATGAAGTGGGCATGAAACCTGCGAGCATAATAATAAAAAAAAAAAATAGTAGATACCCACTAACTGAGTTGACTATAATTCACACACCCTACAGACGATTTGCTTAACCATTGTCAGCGAAAAAGCCGAACTCATCGCTACGTTTTAGTGAACGCAGAGATGAAAGAAAACAGAATGCACCTATTAGCTTCCAGGTATACGTAGAGCTCTTCCCACTGTCGATTCCCATTAACAAATGGTTCCGGGATGATTTTGTGTACAGTTGTACAGGTGTACAGAAACTCTAATAGTAGGCGTCAACATTTATGTGAAAAATAGGTGGGAGTATATTCAATATATCGAGATATGGTTGTCCTATATTATATATAGTACAGAAAGGTTCGCTAATTAGCTTTATACAAGCCGACATGTAGAACTTGAGCAGGGAGCCACAACGAGCAAACTATAAAGACCTCCATACTGTGTAGCTTGGAGGCCTTTATAGCGTATAATATCAATGCAGAAAACGTACTTCGTCTATTTGGTCTTCGTTGAGCCAGTGACGTAGTAAGCTTCCGCATCCAAGCTGGAAACCGATCTCGTATATTTTCTGCCACCAATTGCAGCAACAGTTGAGTGTGATAATAAGCTACAGCTTTACGCCTAAGTATTTACTGCTATTGTTAGTTTTGCCTTTGCACTAGATTTTCCTTTAGATACTTATAACTTGTACAACTTGTAGCTAGTTTACCACCTGATACAAGCTAGAAATATTTCTATTGGCACCGCAATCGTAGGCCTTAGTGATTTAATTATGGTAAAATGTAATATTAAATTATAAACTAAAAAACATAACAACAATATTATAACAGACGATATTAAACTATAATTTAAAAAAATATATGCTTGCGGAGGTCCTTAAGGTTCCATAATCATATTCTATGTAAAGGTTTGGATAATGTCCATAAAAGTGCGCAGGCATCGCAGTGCATTATTTATACCTCACTGATCGAATAGCCGATAACCGATGGAAGGAAACGTCGTATGTAATTCATATCCCATAAGTTTGCTGGTCGCGGTTTTCGATGGAGAACTAAAGTGAACGATTACTCTAGTAATACCTAACAGTTCCGATTTGGGCTGATTCAGCGTACGTAGAGAATGGAAGCCGACCATAAGCCGCGTTTAGAAAACCGTCCTAAGCTCTACTTTTAAAGAACTATGACCGGCAACTATTCTATTCCACTAGACGCAAAAGGCTAGCTTCACAATGTACTTGCTCACTAGCAGCACGATATGTAAAAAATCATATCTCAGGTTAGTTTTGATCTTCATTTTGACCTGCTCGTCCAATGACCTTGGAGTCATCCTATTATGGATCAAACTGTTTATATTTCAATCAATATAACCCTAAAAATAAATCGCGTCCCTTCGAATCATTAGATCGAACTGGAAACCCTGTCTGCGTTGCACTCTGAGCCTTAGCATTGTTATGCTCGTCTGATATGCGGCTCGTCGGGTCCAACAACTCACTAACCTAGCTTAACTTTTATGTAAACCTCTTATTTTGTTAGCTTCGATGACGTAAGACGATTTCTGCCCTCTTAAGCTATTTAAATAACACACAGGGTATAACGATTCTAATAACGAGAAATTTCTGCTTATCGTTTGATCCAGTTTTACAAAAGCTAACGTTGTCCCATTCCTTAGGCTGTTATCATTTTGCCGACTCGGAAGGTCGTTTTATCGAAATAAAGCCAACTTCTCACTTCAGGTAACTGAGAAGAACTACAGCTTCTGAAGTCCGTTTGGAAAAAGTTGACGGAATAGGAATCGCCAAAAGCAGCTTCCACCATCCGTATACAAAATAGTTGACGCTCTAACTAACTGTCTCTTTCTCTTGAAAACGAAACCAAGGAAGAAGAAAAAAGCTGACAAACCTCGGACTTTGGCTGGTCGGAGTTAATTTGCTGGACTTGGCCTCCTCTTGAGCCACCGCTACTGCCATTAGTGTTCTGATTTTCTCCGCCATGTCTCGACAGGACCCCCCGAGATTGCGGGCCCCTCCGGCTATCCACGCCACTCGACGCCCCGCTTTCCATCGAACCTGCAAACATGCAAAAGAGATAAAAACGCGTGAAGGAGTTGGAACAGACAGGTAGATTAGGCCATTTCGATGTAACTTCTTCAAGGAAATATATACGTATAGTTTTTTTCCGATACTGAATTTTCTCCGAAAAAAAACGGCAACGACTGATGTTTGCCGTTGCCAAATACAAATACGACGGCGAAAAATCCAGCTCTACATTGGAAACAAATACAAGCGACTACACTCAAAAGTGCCGGCGGTAAACACGCGTATTCTCTCTCCAGGTGCCATCATCTTTAGGAATTGCCTGACCTGTTCACAACATCAGTCTTTCTTAAGAAATGCTGCATTTTTTGCTACTGGGCCATCATGGTTTTGAATTATCAGACTTTTCAAATTCTATAATTTCTCAAACTATATAATTTGGAAAATCTGCTCCTTCAGATAAAGGGACACGCACGTCGCGAAACGTGCATTTGTTACACGAAAACGCGGTATACATTGGCGCCTATTTGCGAGGACAGCTTTACGTCATTGTTGCCAATCTGCGAGAGAAAAGATGTAGGCAATTTACTATTATTAAGTATAAACCTCCCATTGTTGGCCCATGGGTATAACTGTAGTTGACCACCACGTAAGCGTAAGATGCGCAGACGTAACGCGCATAAAGTGGCCTACGCTATCGAGGACCGACTACAATTCTATATTTCGAAAGCTCTAATGCTCTGTGACCCTGAATATGATCCACAGAACGTAGATAAAATTAGGTTTAGCTCAGAACTAACAACCAAAGATGATGACCTTATAGGCCCAGAGGTACGGGCCAATGTGTACTTATCGAATCGGACCGAAAAAACTGGGCCCGGATTTGTGCTTGTTCTTCTAGCAGATCCACTTATAACTGAAAAAGACACCATATTTTACTATTTGCATTCAGTCGTTTGCATATAGTAATCATGGCGCCGCACCCTAATCGAGTCCTACTTTTGGTAGCTTCTCAGAACTCAACTCAGGATGTGCTTAGATTTTTGATGCGGTTTATTCGTTGCTCATTCCTAACGGCATTCATGGCGGAGCATACAAAATTCGCAACGTAAGTGGGCCGTTTGGGTACAAGTTATGGGTCAGTAGTGTGAACGACGATTCTTATGTGTACTTGACCTGAGAGGTAGGAAGTCGATTGAGCCATATAAAATAAATACCTTGTTGACTGTCGAAGTAATACTACCGTTTAGGCTACTCGTCATTAAGAACACATTGATGTAAACCCGCACGCTTACTTCTATTCCATGGCATAATCGTATATCGAATTATGCCGAATTTTTGAGCTTTTTTCGAAAAATGTGATATTTGCATCAACGCCCTAAACATATTGTTTCAATCTAGCTAATCCTAGTTCAGACGATGCATAATTACCTTGTATCAACTAAATAGCCGTTAAATATTGGACCCTCTTTGCAATCCTGAAGGTTGCACCGAAACGTATTTAAGTGCTTGGATAAATATTCATTCATATCATTGTGTTAAGGCTCAGTATTTTTTGAATGTTTACATTTTAGTAGAAAGACGTTTCTAATCTGTATATGAAACCTATGCGGTAGCTATTTAAGTAATGGTACTGTTTTATACAAAGAACTATGTTCTGATTCCTCGACAACTTACATGCAAGGCCAAAACAGGGAATGTGCTCTTCAGGGCTACGTTATTTGTGCTCCTACCGCTGAACAAATAAAGAGTACTTGCTCCATGATAGTCGGCGCGGCTTCACTTAGCCTCATAGCTAGAGTAAGTTTTAGTAATCGGTCCTATTTCCAATATAATAAAAGTAAATGTTACGTTTTCAAATTCGGTAAAAGTTGTTGGTCTGCTTATTGTTGTTTCTGAAAAAGAAGGAAAGACTTTTCGTTCAGGCTACTCCCATTTAGTTTTACAGGGCTCCATCGATGTCAATGCGATCAAAGTAATTGACAGAAAATCGCTTGAAGGTTGTCAGCTTACCGTTACCCTTTATTCTCATATGCCAATTTGGCGAAGTATTATAATAAAAAGATTACTAGCGGTCCCTCCATATCTTCTTACCAATATTACCGCCAGTTTCGAAGAGATTATAGTCAGAAAAATCTCAATAAAAAAAAGAGAAGGTATATAGTACCTTCAAAACACAGGTTTTAGTGGTCCGTGACGAGCAGCGACTGTCATAAGGGCAAATGCCCTCAGGGAAACCTCAACAAGAGTATTGAAAAGGATATGAAGTTAATCTCATTCTGTCCCTCAGACCTATCATCGTTTGTATTGGTCGACCAAATGTAGAAAATGGAAGGACGATTTTTGCTAACTTTTTCTCTCGATAGTCATCTCACTTTAGAAAGGATCAATGGAGCTCTAGGTGAGGTAGAACTGCAAAGTGAAGTGTTTGCCCTTTGACTACCGTATCGAAAAAGTTATCGACCACAATTATTTGTACAAAGCACTATTGACTTTGCCCATCGTCCGTGCAGCGTCTTCTAACGAATGATTTCATACGACAGCTCAACATCTTGTTCGGAAAAGGAAGCTTTCTCCGGGGGGCAAACTATCCTGTCAGGTTCGCTCAGTTTCACCGGGAGTAAAGCATATTTTCATCTCCTACAAATGTTTTTATTGACTGAAGCATATTCTACTAATTTTTCAATGAGATTTGTGAGCAAATTTTCTGGTGAGTTCTACCTAGTGCGGGGCCACATGCGCGTACATATAATGTAACGTAACGAAAGCTTTCGTTATATATGCTGAGCCAACCGTAGGCTCATCAGTACAGCACAAAGCGAGAAACTTGAACTACAAGTAAACTCATCCATTCATTGTAATAATATAAAT